AATCCTGTGGAAACACTCCATAGGCCTTAAGCTGAAGGATGCTAAAAGAAAGGTCCATCTAAAACAAGAACGAAGCGCAAGAGGACTCATAAGAACACAACTGCCGTTGCTCACACCAAAGTTCCATTTAGTCCATGCTGCCTAGAGTACTGTCCCAGCCTCCAAACACCTTTAACTCTGGGATTTTCTCAGGCTGATGTGGTCTGTCTATTCAGTAACCCTCAAGGAGTTCTCTGTTAAGTATTTCTCTTGAGCTAGAACTGTTTTGCATCCACAACATCCTTTACTAAGGAGTTGCACCATCCCTTAGCCAGGGCACGGAAAACCACCTCTGTTTGTTCACTGTGAACGTGACTCCAGCTAGGTAGGTTGATTAACCAGGTTCCTGCACGGGATGAGACAGCAAACAGTTGGTACCTACCTCTTGCACAGGCGGAAGCATCAGAGCCTACCTAGTTCCTCACAGCGGCCATACTCCAAGTCTTTGACCATGTTTGTTGTCCTCTTTGAGGCTTTTCCAGTTCTTCATTATCCTTTTGGAGATGATAGGCCATGACCTACATGCAGTGTTTTAAGACACAGGTGAGTCATCTTGATATCACACCAAGTTAGCTCAGAGTACTGCTTAGCTTTTTAAAGTATATTAACAACTTAGGTTTACCCTTTGTAAAGGGATGAAGCCTCATCTGTTTTCACACACATTCATCAAACGGTGCCAGCCTGCTCCCCAAATGAAGTCATTACCTGCAGTCAAGAGGCTGGATCCTACTATCAGTTAGTTTGTGCAGTGCACCAAGTAAGTGACAGAGTTTGAGGATCTTCCCAAACCAACAGCAGCAGGGAGGGGAAAAGACAAAAAACCCCCACACATGCTACCCCAGTAAAAGCAGAGATAAGCAAATCCTACTAACAGGTCATTCAGATGTAAGAGAGTCTCCTCTACGCCTGTGCAAGTGTTAGGAACACGAAATGTAATCAGCAGGATCAAATCAGTTTCTTTCTTTCAAGGTCCCCACCCCGAGTATGAGAAACTGTAGGAGTCATATACATCATATACACTACAAGTCTAACTTTAGAGAAAAGCCAGATTTGGTTAGTTTGCATCTGAAATTTAATGATAGGGGGAAAGACTACTCATTAACTTTCTCTTTAAAGAAGTGGTTTGTCTTTCCTTGGGCTCCTCTTAAAAGAGAAGTGTTTTTTTACCAAGAGGTTTCTTGTGGCCTGACCGTAAGTTTTTAATGTGAGTTTGCTAGTTTTATGTATTTAAAGCAATTAACAGTTGTTTTGCAAGGGCCAGCTGTTAGCAATTCTAATGCTTGTTTCTGCTTATTGGGGGCAGCTGGAGAGACAAAAAACAGCAAGAAAAATCAAGATTACTAGTATAGCCATTATTAGCCTAGAATTTCCAGCCAGTTATCTGGCTTGAAAAATCTTTTACCAACTGCTAATACCAATATGAGTATTTTACAAACCCAGATTTAAAAGAAAAAAATTAAAAGAACCTCAGCAATACAGGACCAAAGATTTGCCTATTTTGCAATCTAAAGAGATCACAAGTTCCCACTGCTTCTGTCCTCCTTGCCTGCTCCTTTCCTTTGCTGCTCTTGCATCAAGAGAGTCCGAGAGATTCACTTCCTCTGGTGGCCTGCCAAAGCTCAAATTAGTAAGCTACAGGAAGCTGTCAGAGATGTGTTTGTACAGCCAGGCCTTCACTATGCTCACAGGATTGCATCTTGCATGGAGTACAGTATCTGCAGGGGACAAATAACAGTTTATAGATGTAATTCACACAACTCAGAGCCCATCTCAAAAATACTTACAAGGAAGCAACTCAGTGCTGAAGTGACAACGGGTATTTGTGCTCTTTAAGTTAAATAATTACATGAATAAATGATGAGAAAGCCTCTGTATTTTCAAAATTATCTCCCCTGCTTATGTGCTGCAGAAATATTTAATTGGGCAATGTGCAATCACATGCAGGCACATGGACCCCTGGATAAGGCACAAGGAATCTCTCATAGGCTGCATGGCTTCCCACCGGTCAGACCAGTCACAGAAGTGACTCTGGTCTCACTCTGCTTATCTTTGCACAGCACAGAGGCCAGGTATACAGGACTGGGCTAATCCAGGACTTTTTTTCTGATGCATATAGCAATGAAAGGCTATATATGAAGCACTGCACTGCCTTCAAAAGGAGTCTCTACACTGCAGCATAGTGCTCTGGCTTTTAATCCTTCACTTGGGTAGGGGTGCACTTACTGAATGACTGATTTCTTTGGACTGAAGAACGTTGAGAGGCTGTGCCAAGATTTGAGGTCCAAAATATCTCCCCCAACTGCTTCCCTCTAAAACCAGCTCTTCTTGCAAGATCTGTTTCTGGGGGCAGTTAGGGTCAATAACTCTGTTAGTTTGTTTTAGCAGCAGGGGGGATACTTCCCTTCAAGATTATATTTCAATCCTTTATCTTATTAAGGGAAGATGTGTTTTGTCCATTATCCAATTAGCCTAGTGGATTAATAAGGTTGGGCTTGCTCTGTTTCAGGAAGCTCACAAATAACAGTCAAGCATAATTAAACCTAAAATTGTAAGTAACGCTGGTAACAAGAGCCCTATTTCCCTGTATATTCTATTTATTATTTTTACAAGCTATGCTCTCAAATTACATGACATGAATTCTTGATGAGAATGTCTCAATTCACGACCAAAAAGCAAAAGGCTGCCCTGAAAACATTTACTTTCATATGTTTATAAAATTCTCTTTGTGCTAAATATAGGCAGGTAGGTTCCAGCCCAGAATAATGTTTTCAGTACTTGAGAGGAATCTGTTTGTTCAGTTATAAAGGCATGAAAATAATTTGTCATTATTCTGACATCTGTCTTGGCAAAGCACACTTTCTGATCAGAGCTATTCACTTACGAATTCAACTGTGGGTGCTTGAAAACTAAACAGCTCTGTTCTTCAGAGATATATCTATATACAGCTTTTGACATATTTTCCTGTTTGAGGACATATGGTCCTTAACTTTAAACAATGCTCTTATGTTACTGGTACAAAAAACAGAGAAGCTTGGAAGAAATAAAACAAAAAGAAAAAAGAGAAAGAAACTAACAGGAACAACTCAAATTACTGCAGTAGCATTGTTCTCATAACTGCTGCTTGGCAAAATGCAGCATGTGGATTTCTGACAGAATGAAGCGGGGGGGGGAAGAGAGTTTACTCTCAGGCAGCCTCACTAACTCCGTAAGTTAACCAAAATCTGGAGGAGACAGCCAGCCATCCAGCTTTGCCAAGGGCTTGCGAGCAGCCTGCACAGAACTACATTTCCCAGCACTCCCAGTGGGGGAAGAGCGACTCAGACCCAGTGAGACAGCTGCCCTGCTGTTTGCTGTGGGAGCAGTGCTTCTAACTGGGGTCAACGTGGGACTCTCCCAGCTGATCCCGGCTGCTGGGGACAGCAGTCC